AAGTTTAATTTAATTAAAGTTTGATTCATCAATTATTTTTTTTCTCAGTGCAAGAACAGTGAACTTTATTTCGACGGACGCGCGGCTTTCAAGAAAATTTCGCACCCTCTCATTCGTTTACATTTCATTTATTATTTCATTAAGAAATATTTTTTTCTTAAATTGCTCGAGTCCCTTTCTCGGAGTCGCCGATGATTGTCGCGAGGAAGATTTATCCACGCTTCGTAAAGTTTTGGAATTATTTCTGAAGAGGTCGCGAGAGAAAGAGAAAGAACGCGCGAGGGTTTCCCCTTTTTCTTTTTATTTTACAAACGTCGAGAGAAATATTGCGCAAAATGGACGATGAGGCGGAACGGTTATTTCGTCGGGCACGTCTCATTCTCGCCTTTTACCCCATTCGTGACTTCAATCGCGCAGATATTTGCGCCGTTCCGCAATCTTAATTCGCTCGATCGACGTTTCTCTCGAGAGTATATCCACTGCTGTCCCTTTTTCCCGCCTCCCGCCTCCGCAGAGTTTCCGGAACGCAGCGGCGATTTTTATTTACGTAGACTTCGACCAACTGAATTGCAATATATTGCGGTAGCATTTGTTACCGCGGTCACACGTGAAGTTTTGTTTGCTAGTCTCTGAATACGCGTCGCCCTCTCTCTCTCTCTCTCTCTCTCTCTCTCTCTCTCTCTCTCTCTTTCTCTGTCGCTCACAACGACGTATGTACACAGTAATTTGTAAACCCCGTCGACATCGTTAGAGTCGCGAACACGAGTATAGCTTAGAAGAGCACCCTCGCGTGGAAACAGTCCCAGCATATAATGGAGTCCGCGACTCGCGGATTTTAATGAAGTCCGAATGATGAGCTAGAGATTACCTGGACTCGCCGGGAAACGGAATTTTAATCAACGCTGCTCTCTCACGACATCACGAAGAAAAAGAGGATAATCGGTGTCTCATGGATATTCGCGGAAGTAACGTTTCTTTCTTTCCTTAATATAGTTAATATCATATAAATGTCATGTGATAATGACTGTGATAAACGTTATGTCACGTCATGTGATAAACGTCAGTCAAATGAGTTGACAGCAGCAGTGTTGAGCACGCTAATCCATGAAAATTTTCTTTCACTGAAATAACCGGCTAATCAATCATCGAAATTAATCAATCGTCATGTACGAAATCACAAATAATTTTATGATGAAATATATTATTAACCACATTATTTAATTACTATTTAATTATTACTATTATTATTATTTAATTATTATTAACCACATTTTTTTATGTGATTGGTATTATACACTGATGAATTATTAATTCCAATATTTAAATTCACCCAACTATGAAATTCCTTATGATTTTATATGTGTGACAATTTTATCGGTTCGCCGGTTATTTTCGTAAAAGAAAAAAAGAGATTTAATTGTTTCAATTCTGGTTGATAGTACATAATTAAACACAGCAACGATATTCTTGTTTCATAAAGTGCGAAAACACCAGCCGCGGTTCGATAATTCCCTGGCTCGTCGCATCGCCTTCATCGCGGACGCGTGGGAGTAGGAATAAGCGGAGAAAAACAGATAATTGTTGTGTAGGCCAAGTCCCGTTTCGTGGATTAATGCATACATTTACATCGCGATGCGCATCCTATGCATACGTACATAACTCGCGCACTGTCTTGCGGAAGCTGCCTTAAACGTCTCGTTTCTGTGATGCAAATCGCGATCGTTCGTAATTAGCGGGCGAAGGCGCGCTCAATGAGTGACGTCACGCGAGCACCCTCGTGGGTGATACCGCGAACGCGTGTCTCTGCACGTATGTAAAATACGTGCGAAAACACAAGCGCGCGTAGGCGGATTCTCGAGAATTTCGTTAAAACGTGGCCGGCCAAAAATTCGCGGAACCCCGCTGTAACTTCTCCCTCTCTCCCTCTCTCTGAGGTACGCGAGCGAAACGGTGAACAGGAAAGCGCGAATGTACTCGCGCGCGAACACTCGCATGCGGGAATCGAGAGAGATTCGGCGAAAACCAGCCGGTATGATGAATATCGTCGTTGTCCGACGAGATCGCGAGCGAACCGTGTCTGAAAATTGAAGAGCGCCGGCGCGAATAACGCATTCATTATTTTCATTTTAAGCGTGCACGCATGAATGAATAAAACCGCGCTTTATTCTTCCTTTTTTCTCTCCTTTTTTTAGTTTCCAGCTTTTCGATTTAAATCGCCGGCGCGTGATTTATTTCATACTTAGCTGAAACTACTTGCCCGGATTATCGCAAAGTGCCAAAAGGATGAAATTAAGGGGAGGAGGTGCGATGTGCAGGCTTCTAGAGATGCCATGTACGTGCTATGTGCACGTAGCCTCTATATTTTCCGCAGGCTTCTAAAGAGTAACTATGCAAAATTTGTTTCTGATCGGTCAAAGGGTTTACGGGCTTGTAGGGAAGAAACAGTCAGACAGACATTCTATTTTATATGCACGGAGAAAAATAATTTGTTGGCCCAGCAAATTTTCTGCTGGTCTAGCAAAATCTTTTTCATTATTATATGGACAGCAAAAAGATTTGCTAAGAGTACTAATCACTATTTGCTGGATATAATTTGCTGAATCTACAAATTATTTTGCTATAAGAAACATTATGGATTTATATAAGCAGTTGCAGTTTTGCTCCAGTAGCAAATAAATTTGCTAAGGATACATTATTTTGTATCAATAGCAAATTGACGTAATTCTTAAGTCAAATACACTCAACAAATTTTTTCTATTCTGACAACGAAACTACTTCTGCTCTAATAACGAATAATTTGTAAAATCAGTTACGTCAATTAAATATTTTTGATGTCACTACGAATATGTAGTAGCAACGATGATTTTGCTAAAAGAACAACATTATTTTTCTCCGTGTAGATTTTATGTTACGCTATATATTTAATAGCGCATTCTTCGCGCGAGGATATTAACGTACACGTGCGGTATTCAGATGATAGAGCAATATATGGTGCTGAACGACACGAGGAGTAGATTCGCGGTTGACGTTTAATCGGATTCGCTCATCCATTAGTTACCGCGAACGCAGACCATGACGTGGGTCACTCTTTTCAGAAACTCGCTCTCGAAGCAACGTTTGTGAAGTGTGCAGAAACGAAGTATAGAATGACTAAAATGTTTACGAAACGTGACATCACATTTACTAGTTGAGTACGAATCAATTTGCAATTATTGAGAAGATTCGTCGTTTCTCTCTTAAATACTCGATAGAAACCCGACTGGAAATTTTATGATTCTATCCTTTCGACCTCAGTGTTCTACTTAACGTCTACTTTGATACTCTAAAATCTGTATCAGTCTCGATTCTATTATTTACTATTATTACTTAACTTTGTGTCGGTTCTTCTTTAGAACTTACAAGTGGCATTTTGCGCGTTTCCTGGCATTTAGAGACGTTAATTAGAAGTCCAGTTTCCATGTGATATTAAAACATGCACATCCTTCAGAATATTTAGGATGCTCCTAAAAAATGTAGAAGTAATCCTTTTAAAAAACAGAACTGACTGTTCTGATTGAACAAATTCTTTATACAACTGTTAACGTTTCTTTGAAGCACCCTTTACTGACGCTAGAGAAGTAATTTCTCTCTTTGATGCGAAGCTCAAGCCTCATTTCCCGCACGACTGTACGAAGTCACAATAATTTTTATTCTGCACGAACGACGCGCGGCTACAATGATCGATGATGACTCGCGCGTGCACACGAGTTATGGCTACCATCCTTCTGAAATAATTTCGCACATCAACGAGCCTTATCGTGCCGTGGCGGTTCGCAAACAGTCCCGAGATGACCTGAGTCGAATTTTGTTCGCGGCTCGCTGGAGAAATTTCCTCGAGGGCGATTTCCTCGAGCGAACCGCAAACTCCCGTCCCGTCCTTTTATCGGCGGGGCGCAGCTGGGAAATATGGAAATAATGTTACCAATATCTCGGCCTGTTATGGGACATACGCGGCCGACGAGACACGCCAGCTTCGACGAATACGGAGCCTTGAGCGCGGCATATATCGATAACTGAAGAGAATCGCCCTGCATTCTCATCATTTAATGAAGAAAAATGGCTGAAGAACGATGTCGTTGACATTTAACGCAGCACATCTAGTAATCCCAATACTCGTCTTGCAAGCAATTTTATCGAACTCTACGATTAATTTCTAACGCGAGGGAGGAAAGATGTCTCGAAAGGGAAAGAGGGAATAGCCAGGAAAGCCTCAATCGCATCAAATTGCTCACGAATGCTAAACGCTTCTGTCACAATTACATCTTCGATAGCTCGAAGTTGTACATTAACGAAAATCGAACGTAGCCCGTTTCTCTATCAGTGTAAGAAAACTACACTGAGAGAAGAGAGAGGAAATGAAATTATTTATTCCATAGGTATCAATAATATATTTATTGCAATCTAAATTCGTTTATTTAAATAGAATTAACAATTGCTCTCATGAAAAACCAATGTTTTATGAAAATGTAAATTTTCGGTTAAATTTTCTTGAAAAATATTTTATATTTGTAAACATTAATATATAAATACATATATATAAATACACATATATATATATATAAAATATAAGTAATGTTTAAGTAATATATATAAATAAAATATAAGTAAATATAAAAAATATAAGTATAAATATATATGTGTTATTAGTATTTGAAAAAATATTTTTCATTTCCTCGATATTTTCTCCCACAGTATAGAAAAGAATAAAATGACTCTTATGATACCGATAAAAAAAAAGAAAACACGATTATAAAGCTTTTCTTGGACATTCCTCCTTCTCTATTTGATTAGTATCTCAAAAACTATTTTACCTTCTATATTTTGCGAGAGTAATCTGTCCTTCAGCTGCGCAGAAAAGCAGAGACGAAATTGAAAAAGGGAGAGATTCCTTCGTGAAACTGTCGTGTATCGAAAGAAACGTAAAACTAGCCTGCCCGAACGCGTCAGTCTCCGAAACTCAATTTCGCATCCCGGATTCTTCTCGTTCGTCTTCTCTTCCTCGCCTCCGAAACGCGGGTATTAACGGGTCACGAGCAGTACACCAACGCGTGCGTTTGCCCAGCCTACCGAGAGATCCAGCGAGGGACCCCCGTTGGCGGGACAGAACACGGGACACGGCGCCAAAGATATGCCTGCACCCTGCATCGCGCATGCGGCTGCAGTCGCACGGGACGCCCGGATCCTCAGTGCGCTCGTCACTCGCGACGCGTTCGGGACGAATCTCTCTCGCTCCTCTCGCTCGTCCCTCAGGACTTCCGCCGGTTCGCCGCCAAACTCTTTTCCTCCCCGTCGCAGACGTCGGCGCACATCGGCGGCACGCGGACGCGATTCCATATTACGCGTTTCCAAAGTCGCGGAAGAGGAGTAGCCACCTCAGGCCAAATGGCCGGTCCCCCGCGGGAAAATCCGCGAGAGACGACAAAAACGGAAGAGGTGGAGGAGAGGGAACCGCTCGATCGACCGGCCGATCGACCGGTGTCGATGTAGATGCCGGCGGGGGAGGCGAGAGAATCGCCGAACGACGAGGACTAGCTTGACACGTTAGGTATCCATGTGGCGCACAGGTGTTCTCAGATCGTGCTGTCAATCGCTCGGAGTGATTGGCAGGTGTTAGCGTGGCATGCAACAGGATGAGCCGGCAGGAGAACGCCGGCAGAGGAACTTCGGCCTGACGCGGCGGCAGTCCGGCGCTAAGTAGGTAAAGACGGCGAAGGACGCGGCGGACCATATTACGGCCGCGACTACTTGCAGACCGACCGGCCGGCCGGTGGCAATCGTCGTTCCCCTGGTGCAATTAATTTCTCCTTGCGATTGGTTGGATTAAGCGAATATTTCTGACGAAATATGAACACAAACCAGATATCCCGACTGAAGCTACCTGGATTTTCTGCTTCATTCATATCTCATCAGAAATTGGTTAATTCAATTAAAAATGTTTTTTTTTCTCGTATAATAGGCTTGTTTGTCTTCTTTTTGCTACATTGACTCTGCGTATCGCGTGAAAATTGCATCGAACAGTTTGCGACGCGGATATTTCGCCTTAGCTTGTGATCTTAGGCGGAATTTCGCGCGTAAAAGAACCATTTTGCCACCTGCATTGCCTGAATTCGTTTCTTTGGAAACTCAAACTCAACCTGATAACGGAAATAATGCCTGTCCCGCGATGAAACGCTTCGCGAGTATCCATCGTCGGGAATAATAGTCGTTAAGAAGTGGCCGGATATAAAGGAGAGCTTCGTCATTTCTCGAGGAAAATTGACGGACGCGATATATCTAATGTCTTCTGATCTTTTTCTCCACCGCGGAGTAATTGTGAGTTATTTCCGAGACGCGGTGGTGGCGACAATGTTCATTCCGAGGTCCGACTTGCAGATTGATTTTTAGCCAAATCGACGATTAGCTAAAGTGGAATCGTTACATTAACGTTACAATTCTGGATTAAATAACTCCACTAAGCGAGATGAAAAGCGAATAGCGACATCGAGCAGTTAATTTTTCTCTCCTCCTCGCCACACCGAGGACGCGACGGAGAGAATTTCATCGCCGTACGGCACCACTACCATTATCCCCTTTGACCCGCATGGAAATAAATCTGCGGTGGCTACGAAATAAAAAGTATCTCTAGCCCCGCGACTACATTCCATTGTTTAAATGCGCGTTTGATAACTGTGGAGTAGCTTCAGTTTCCGCGATTCTGCCGAATCGGAAAATTAACGTCGTAAATCAGGGTGGACGCATCCATTCCATTCATCTGGATGCTTATAAACGCGTCCGACTTTATTGCGCCAGCTCGAAAGCAACTTACAGACGTAATTGTTGTTGTGGAGCCAACACTTGGTCGAGCATTTTTCCGTATAAGGAAATCATTTACTTGCCTAAAGTGCGTGTTAATATTTGTTACTCGTTTGACATGAGATACTCAGACCTGAATTCGGAATTGGATCGAAGCTTTTTAATTCAATCATATGATATGCATGACATTTATTATGTTTGTAAAGAAGTCACATCTGACTCGGAAGCTAGTATTAAGTTGTCACTTGAAATTTGTTTTATGTGAGATATTCAAAATTTTATTCAGAGGTAGACAGTTTTAGTTGAATTATAATATATGTGACATTTATGTGTCTGTAATTGCGATTTAACTGAAAAGCTCTTATCAAACTCTGAATTCAAATGTCTCACTTGAGGTGAATTTCAAGTAATAAACGTAAATATGGATCTTACCGTATTAATTACTTGAAACTTGTCCCAAAATGAGTAAAAAAGGCGCAATTAGTAAAAATAACGCAACTAGTAGAAAATAAAAACTGCTTTTTAATTAGTTCTAAGTGGCTATACTTAGATCTTCTTTGTTAAGTAGATAAACATATAGACTGACTGATCCATTGTTAACAAAAAATACAAAATCATGATTTTGTGGGTTAGCTCATTCTTGTATATAACTACGACCAATTGACAATGAGCGAAACGTGGCTGTATGGTGGATCCCCCATGGCGCATTGCGTCCAAGCTCCCGGGGGCTGCCAAAAAATTGGTGTCGATCCCGGGACTTATTTGTATTATTTGCACCGGATGAAAAGGGGCAACAGTGAAGACGGACATACATGGACAGCAGGTCTTAAAGGACAGCAACCTTTAGCTTTGAGAGACTAACAGCTGTACCATTTGGTACAGTAACATTGTTTCTCTTTGTAGTTGCCGTGCGCTCGGGATCGCGCCAGAGATGTCGCTTCCGAACGGCATCTCTGAGCGTTATCTAGGAAGAAGAAAGTATCGTGAGCGTGGAGCGTCAGGTAGCTCAGTGGTTTAGAGCAGTCGCCTGGCATAGACCCGGGTTCGAGTCCCGGCCTAGTAAAACCTCTCGATATTTGTCTCTCTCCGGAACAAAAAGATACGCAGATCTCGAACGCACGGCGTCCCCGCCGCCACCTAGTACGCCCTCCTCCTCCTTAATATTTGAACGAAATATTTATATAGATAAGTAGCATGAATATCGATGAGTCGAATAGCGCGCTAATTGCCACCTCCGAATCGTTGCTTTAGCAGAGAAAAGCTGCCGAGGCGCCCGCGTCTCCGTGATTTCGCTTAGGAGACGCGATCAAGAGACTTCGGCGTACGACAGAACGAGAAGCAAACAAAAAGAATGATCGAGCGAGTTACGTATCGCGTGCTAATAATCGCGCTCGTGAACAATTCCGCGACACGCGGAATCTAATTATTCGTTGGTCGCGAGCAGCGATTTTCCGCCGGCGATTTCGCCGGCCAGTATAGCACCGGGGGACACTTCATCATTATCCCGTGACAAACGAGCAATTAGCGATGTGGCGATAAACTTCACTCGTAACTTCGTTAACGGAGATTATCCACTAATTAGTTGGACATACGTGTCCCCTTGTGTCGCAAGTTGGCGACGATGATGTTTGTTCATCCGCGAGAAACGGTTGATAAATCGCGACGTAGAATAGAGAGAGAGACGCGCTTCGTCTGTCACTTCCTCTGTTACACCAAAGCGCTTATTCAAATCCAAATTACATATTTATACTGAGAGAAGAAATGATTGATCTAACTAAAATTATAATTTCAAATTTTTGTCCAAATCGCTTAAAGTATTTGGGAGTTAATAGGAAGCATACAGAGAGACATTCTGTTATACACAAAATCCATTAATGAAAACTTTCCGATTATTCTGTAACCAATTGATTTTTTTCAAAATTGTCGATACACGTCAATATTGTTTTCAAGAAGACTATATGACTGTGATAAATTTAACTACGTTGCTTTATCCCCTTAAGGAGACTGGAGGGTCAGATTGCCTGAAACTTGTGGTTGTTTTTTTACAATTTTTTTACGACAAACTGAATGAATATACGAAAATGTTATTCTGACTTGTATTTATACAACATACACATATAAGGACAACATATAACATATAAAGAGAAGAAAAATATAATATTGATGATCAAACACACGTTATCGTGTGAACTACTGACAAACTCGTGAAAATATTTAATTTTAAAATATTAATTTTTTTACTATAAAAAATTGAAAATTTAATAATATTCCATTAAGATATTTGCAATTTTGTTAACTTTTATTTAATTTCTATTATAGTGGTTCACACGATAACGACAAGGAAATTTTCTACCTAAAACTCAACTTAATTGAACCACCGAGAGTCCAGATATTACTGTAAAATGATGACCTTGAAAAGAAAAACGAAATATATTTTAACTGCATATACCATACACTTATATTGAGTATTTGATTATTAAAATTATATTTTTCTTCTCTTTACATGTTGTATAAATACACGTCAAAATAACACTTTCGCATATTCATTCAGTTTGTCATAAAAAATTGTGAAAAAACAAGCACGATTTCAGGCAATCTGACCCTCCAGTCCCCTTAATTGGGGTATCTCAAAAAATCTCAAATAACAATAGGGATCAAATAATCGGGGTGGAAAGTTTTTGTTGCCGAATCCTGTATATCCATAGATTGGAAAATATCTCGAGCTCAATGTGAAGTCAAAACTTTCGACTTGCGTACTCATTCATTTTTACAGCTGCGAACGCGAAATCGCGTAGTTCTCGCGCGTCGCGAAGTTAATGCAAATCGACGAATCCGATAACGACACGCGCGCGCGTATGACCATATTTATCGCTGCCCAGTGTAAAGGGTGAAAAAGCGAGTTCGCGCGGCGACTCTCGCCGAGGAGCGAGATAATTTGCATATCGGCCGCAGTCACTCTGCCGCTCGCTCGTATAATGAAATATGCGCTCGGACTTCGCGTATCGTCGGATCTTTTGTCGTCAACAATTACCCCGCTCGTTATATCGATCACCGCGCGGCCGATATAACTCTTAATTGCTGACGCCGGGCTTCTGCGCGACCTTCTACGTGCTCTTGTTTGCGGGCGTGCTCGCGGCGCGTCCTTCGGTCGGTGCATCGCGCAAAAAAAAAAAAAAGCAGAAGAGAGATAGCGAGTATTCTCTTTCGTCTCGTTCTTTTTTTCCTTTTCAAGATTCGTGCACCCGACCGAAAGTTCTTTAATCTCGCGCGTGACCATCGCGTATATGCGCGGAACGAATTTTATATTCTCTCTTGCGCGAGAACATTGCACGAAACTTCGCGATGAGAAATGAGAGGGGCCGCGGTGCCTCATAAAGCCAGAAATGCGGAAAGATCGTGGCTCTTTCGTCAGGGCGCAGAACGCATTCGATGTGCGACAGAAAAATTTGGATAATAGCTGTACAATGAACTCTCTCCTATCCGAACGTGTGTTGCGAAATTTGTTCACCGAGGCAAACCTGAATCGAAATTTTAGCCCTATGCTAAATCTTGAATTCTACAACACAGTAAAAGCTAAGTTAGCAAAGTAAGTTTAATTCTAATTATGCATATATTAATTCTAAAATTAATGTATGCAAAATTCTAAATTTCTAATCTTAATTCTAAATTATGCATAAATTAATTCTAATTTACTCCTACCTTGACTCTAATAATGTTTTAAATTTCCCTTTCCACTTTCTTCAGCATCAAAATAGGCGTTGAATGGGATGAGGCTGAAAGTAAGATCAAAATTTCGACTCAGTTAAATAGCACCAAAAGATATTTCAAAGTATCAAAATAGATGTTGAATGGAATAGTGAGGCTGAAAGTAGGATCAAAAGTTCGATTCGAGAATGTCTCGGTTAT